ATCAGTTGAGCCGAGAACAAGGAAAACATTATCTGTGGTCCAGCTATGGCGTTCCCTCCCACTTGCTTTCCCCAATTACAGGTCCCGGTTACCAGAGCTGGTCTGTCCTGCGAACTCACAGGCGAGGCCATTTCAGCTTCCAGTAGGAGACTGAGGGAGTATAGCCCTTGGGCTATTGGAGCTGAGAATTCTTTCTCTAAATCTTTTTAGCCTGTTGGTCTGCTCCAACTTTGCCATTTGTGTCCGGGCAGAGGAACTTGAGAAGAAATGTGGCATTAGCAGTCTAGCCTCCTTCTGCCAGCCAATGGTATTGGCCTTTTTCTCCTGACGCCTGGTGGTGCATTTGGCCCTAATAGCCTGATCCCTGCTTGGTCTTAGGCTGTGTGGGATGGACGTGGGTTGAGCTTCTTTTGCAGATAGTGCACAGAGTGCGCCCCTTGGGGAGCAGCTGCTGTGACCATCTGTCTCTGGAGATGGGCAGTAGGGGGCTGGACTTGCTGTGGGTCTCTCCTCCTGCCACTCATGCTTTCATGGCTGTCCCAGGTGGGCTGGGTTGATGAGGTTTCTGAAGATGAGAGGTTAGTCTAAAGCTTAGGCTTTTGCTGCTATGAACAGGCTGTTGGCCTTTCTTGTGTGCTACAAAATAGGATCTGGTTCTAGATTGCAGGCTACTCATGAAGCTGTTGTATTTGGAATGTTGTTAAGATGAGAAGAGGGCTAACCTAGAGTCCATCGTACCTGGAGGAACTTCTTCAGTAGCAGTGAGCAATCTCTTTACAACTAGGTCTTAGGAAGGAAAAGGACTTTGACCGTGAAGTCTGTCATAGAGTTTGCAGTCTACCCCAGACAGAAGCTTTATGGGTTTTCAGACTCAGAAAATAGTTCAGATGAACTTATATCTTGCTGACTTGGTTTTACTAGCGAGGACTGCAGGTTAAGACTTAGGAGAAATGGATCCTTTTCTTACATTCTTGTTAAAGGGTACCGATTGGCTTAGCTCTAATTTCTTATAATGATTCGACTTTCTTGAAAATATAGAATGAAACTTGTGAGTGGTTAGTTTTTTAGTTTGTCTTTTGGGACATAAGGGGAAATCTGTTACTGGGCTTATCTAATGGGTTAGGTATTCTTTGAGATGGTTCACCACTACGGGTTGTGGAGAACTCGAGCTCATTCCCGAGAATAAAGACAAGGGACTTTAACTGTCTGAAGGAGATGAATCTTCTCCTGCATATGGGATGAAGATGTTTAACCCATGCTAAAAGCAGGTTACTATCAAAATGATGGCCAGTAGTGTGGCTTCTTTTCATGGGAATAGAGTATGGGGACTCTGTCATCCATCGGGGCACACAAAACTGAGAAATATCGCCACTGGTCCTCTTTCCCTCTCTCTGTGGGAGAGACTGATAACTTCAGGTAGCCACGAGCAGTTAGATGGTGTGAAAAGATAGGGTCGAACTGGAAAGACACAGCAAATGTGGTAAGGAGAAAAATGTGAGTGGAATTTCCATTTTGATCAAAATGTTGTGCTTGATGTGGTGGCAGTGGCTGTGGGAGGCTGTGGTCTGTAGAGAGATGATTTGAGTTCATGTACGTTTGTACTTTTGCTCCCGAACCCAGCTGGAGTTCTGTCAGGGCAGTGGTTTTTCTGAGGCCTGTGTCGTAGAGTCTGGTAGTAGCCAGCTCCTTTGCATGCGCTCAATACTTCTCCGCCATTTGTTTTTTCTTTGAACCAGGAGAAGCCTCCGTTTCCCCTCACCCTTTCCTCCTTGACATGAACAGTAACTAAAGGTAGGCGCACACCTGTGCTGGGTCTGTTGCACTCCCGGGGTTGTTCCCCTTTTCTGTTCTGAACATTGTGTGCTCTGCCTGGCTTTCCCAGCCAGCAGGATTAGGACCTTTGACCTTGGACTTTGTGTGGATGCACAGGGTGCCATGCTTGCTCGGGTAACCTGTCAGGGGCACTTAGTGGTCAGCGGTAGGGCAGTGTCCTTACCCGAGGACTGGATAAGATGAGGCCTCCACATTTCTGAAGGCTAGGGAATCCATGGCCCCAGAGTGGTTCCAGGGACAGGTTGACAGTGAGTTCTGGAGAACTGAAAGCTGAACAGCAAGTGAGTAAAAAGAGGAAACTCAGATTATCTGGATTGAAACTTTTAAAAATGAATGGATTTCTGGGTTGGGTCTTGAGTTTTGCTTCAGCTACTCTACCCGACTTCTTGAGTTGTCAAGAGGCCAAGTGACAAGTTGGACATGGCTTAGGGAGAATAATAGTGCCCCTGAGAGGAGGTCCTTGGGGCTAGGTAAAGGATACGGGGCAAGGTTTTGGAATAATACAATTTTATCTCCAGTCAAAATTTTAGATATCACCCACATTCTTTCACCAATGAGAAAAAGTTGGGGAACCAGCCATGGTGGCTCATACCTGTCATCCCAGCACTTGAGAGGCTGAAGCAGGACGATCGTTGTGAGTTCAAGACCAGCCTGGGCTACAAAGTGAGCTCAAGGCCAGCCTGAACTGCATAGTGAGACCCTGTCTCAAAAAGACAAAAATAAAATAAAATAAAGAAAACGTAGGGGAAGTGACCAAATGAGTGGTTGAGTCAGATGAGGAACCAGGTCTTGCAGCTGCCAGCTGGGCATTCTTCCCTGCACCCTGCTACCTCTTATAGAAAAGGGCAGGTATCACCTTTCACGTTGGGCCATCCCATTGGCCACTGAAAGGAAAGCCGCTTCTAGCAATTGCCAGGCAAATCCATTCACATATAGGGCAAAGGCAATGGCAGTGCTCGGGGTTCATCAGATGAGGGATTTGAGTGGGAACCATCAGGGAGAAGGGCTGGGAGCCCAAAAGGGGAGCATAGTCTAGTAGAGGTTCCCAGACTGCTCTCTTCAGAGTCCTTTTGGAAAACAAATCCAAATGAGCTTCTGTCTTCTGTTCTTCCTGATAGCCACCTCTGAGAGCCACTAGCAAATCATCATGAAGAGAAAAATTTGTTGCCACCCAACTGGCTTCATTCACCATGACTGTGTGCAGAAAGTTCTCCTGTGTGACTCCTCGTGAGCAGAGTCCCAGCCACTGCTCTGTGGAGCACATTTTGGGAAAGCAGATGTCCGTCGTTCCCGGGGACAGTGATGCTCCCCTGGCATGTGTGCCTGTGTGTGCTCACGTGCATGTACTACATCCATACCCAGTGCATATTTAAAGCTCACTTCGTTCCAAACACTCAGGACATGCCCTGGTGAAATACGTTTAGAGTTAAGAATGTTCAGTTAAAATGTTTTGCACTGTTAATATTTCTCAATTTGGATGCATCAGCCATGCCTGAGAGGGAAATAATGTTGGGTGCCTTACAGTGTCAAGGATGAGTGTGTGTGTGTGTGTGTGTGTGTGTGTGTGTACGCATCCTTCTCATGTGTGATTGAGAAATAATTTGTCTTTGGCAGAGAGGTAAAGGGAAAGCACATAAACAAAACAGTGTGATTGAGAAACAGTTCTGTGAAGGGAACTGTGGGCGATCTTTATCAGACTGTGGCCCATGTCACACTGTGTGCTGTCCTCCTGCCACGGTGACCCGTAGGCTCTGAGGCTGAGGCTTACTGACCCACAGGCACCGCATGGTTTGCACACAGTGCTGGGTCCTCAGTTTGGAATTTGGTAGCAGTCGGTGGCTCAGTTTCATTGTCACACTCTGAGCACTGCTGGTTTGAGTACCTGTACCTCCCCTGCATATCTGCACTGTTGTCTAACATCAGTACCAGCCCTGCGGGCTTTTACCGTATCCACGTGCTGATGGCAGGAGGTTGTTGGCTCTCAGAGAGCTGCGCGTTCTTCTGCCTGCCCTCTACCCACAGATCCTAGTGCTGCCTACCCTGTTCCTTAGGGGAAATGGCAGGGAAGCTCAGAGACGAGGGTAGAGAGGGAGGCTAGAGCTGGGTGGATCTGGGGAGGGCAGTAAAGGCCCTGAAAGCAGGAATGTGGGTGGGGAGAAAGCCAAGCCTGTGTCCAGCCTTCCCTCCCTACCTCCTGGCCTGCCCCATTCCCCGTGTCTTCCCAGCTCCGTGCTGGTTCATGACCCCCCCCCCCCCAGGAAGCTGGCTATAAAGAACCCCACATTGGAGTGAGGACTAGAGGACTGTTGCAAGCCGGGCCTGTGACCAGTTGTTGTTGGGGCCTCTGTCTTTCTCACAATGATAAGACAGCCCAGCCCAACTCCCAGAATCATTGTGATGGCAAAAATGAGATAATGTGTACAGAGATACTTTGGAAACCAACAATGGCTGCTATTGCCTTGTGTAATAGAATGATGTTATCCAAATTCTTGTCTGGGTGAGGCACAGGCAGGGAGAAGAGGCTTCTAAAGCGAGGCCTTAAGGAAAGGATGTATTCTAGGGACCACTGACACACCAAGAATATCTGGGAGCCCCAAGAGAGAAGCATCTTGTGCTCATAAAGATGACAGTTCCTTTATAAGCTTATCTGGAGCCTTGTGCCAGGCCCTGTGGTGTAGTGGTTCCTGGATGGGAGAAAGGACATAGGCGCGGCCCTCCTGTTTGTAGCCAGTGTATAGTAGGGGACCCAGGAACATGCAGGCACATCCATGCAATAAGGACTGCCCCAAGGTACTCAGAGGCCAGCAGTCCTGTACTTAAGATCTGTGCTAGTTTGACAGTGAACATTATGTCTGTCTAACTTTCTTCATGGTTGCTTCCTTCTTCGGGCTGAAATCAGATCTGAATTTTTTTCCCTTGGTCTATGTGCGAGGGATTAAAGCTGTAGGAAGAGCCCCATTCCTCTGCCCCTGGACAGGACAAGGGATGGACAGAGAGGGCCATGGGAGCCACTGGAGGAATCAGGGAGGAGTGTCCATCGGTGCTGCCTCTCCCCATCTTCCTCCTGTCCATCTGCCAGAGGGATGGCTACCAAGGCCCCAGGTAGGGGTGGGCCTGCCTGTTATCTGTCCAGAGAAGCAGCAACCTGTCTTTTCCTTTCCCTACAGGAAGCTGCACAGTGGGATGAAGACGTACGGGTGTGAGCTCTGCGGAAAGCGCTTCCTGGATAGTTTGCGACTGAGAATGCACTTACTGGCTCACTCAGGTAGGCAAGCGAGGGTGACTTAACCGGCCCGTTTGGGTACCGGCCACTGCCTCCTGCCCAGTTTCACTCCCGACCACTGCCAGCCAGGGCCTTGGTCCACCTTTTCTCTTGGATGCTCCCTCTAGTTTCACAGAGCAGAGAGGCCATCCTGGTGGTGTGGTGCATGCTGCCCGCTGGACAAAACCAATCCTCATGCTCCCCTGGGGGTCCCAGAGCATCGCTGGCACCCATGCCCTGTGTGATCTACCTTTCAAAGTAGACTGCAGTTTCATTAGCGAAACAGTTGTGGAATTAGGTTCTTGCTGTCTAATGAATCTGACTATTGGGTTCACATTATACTGGAGCCTTTAATTAAATAGATATAGAAAGGTTGGAACACAAAGCTAGTTATAGCGTGCTATCTTTTGCAAGTTAATTTTATCCAATTCTAGTGGGGTTGACTGTGTGGCTGCTGGTAATTTTGCTCATGTTTGGGCAAAGTTGCTCTGCCCAACGAGGCATAGAAAAGGGAAAAGCTGCTGACATTGAGCAGCTCAGGTGTTCTTGGTGCAGGGAAGAAGCCTGCAGGCCTGATCCTGGGGCTTGAAGCCCGAGGCGTCACCTGCCTTTGGTTGTAGATGCTGCAAGATTTCTCAGCCAGAAAGTCACTCTTTTCCCTCTGACAGCCTTGGCTGTCTATGTCACGGTCATGCTTCTGGAGTGAGGAATGAGCTGTCTTCCTGTTTGGTCTTGCTCCTCTCATGCAGGCCAATATCTACCTCTTTTTTTCTCCATGTTGCCTTAAGCAACTGGGCCTCCAGGCCAGTGTTGGTGAGATGAGCATGGGCTTTAGGGTTGGGCAGATAAAGGTTCCCATCCTGTTGGTGACAGGTGCTGAGTGACTGTGGTCAGTTTCCTCTTGTGAGCCCCAGTTTCTGCATCTGAAGTGGTCACTAACTCACACAGTTTTAATCTTTGAGAACTGGGTGACAGAATATATGTTAAAGGAATCTGTAGCAAGTGCCTGGCATACCAATGGTGTTTAACAGATACTGGTGGCCTCTTTCTTCTGAAGTGGTCACCCTGGGGTAAGTCCCGTCCCTGAATGCCGGAGGCTTCCTGGCTGGCTGGCTGCTGCAGTCCGTTCCTCCTGCTGTCCATTGTGTGTCCGCTTATGTAAGTGCTGTAAGCAGCTTTGCTGGCCCCTGCCTGGCTGCAGTACCCGTGCAGTTGGGCGCTGTGGGATGCTATGCCCCTCACGTGCCTTCCTGGCCCTTTCTGTAAGGCTCAGACCCTTATTGGTTTCCATGGTTTCCTCTTCTGGACCCCGGGCAGCTCTCTATCTGGGCAGGTCCACTCTCCCCCATGTCTGCTCCCTTCCTCCTTCCTCTGGACCCCTCTCCCTGCTCCACTGAGCACTCCTTATCTGGCCTCGCCCCGTGTGACTTGAGCCCAGGCATCCCTGTGTTCAGCATCGGCCCGGCACTTGTGCGTCTTGTCCTCTGTGTTAGCAATGTGCACCTTGTTTCTTTTTGCTTCCCTCCAGCTTGCACATGGTTTAGGGTTCAGCGCGTTGTTGATGAACCGTTTTCCATCCAGGTTGGCTCTCTCTCCATGACCCTTGGGAGCAAAGTGTGAGTCCTTCCTTTATTTCTGCATCTCAGCCTGGCTGTGTAGCCCAGGCTAGCCTCTGACTCATGGTAATCCTCGTGCCTCATCTTCCCAGTGCTTAGATTGCAGACGTGAGCCACCACGCTCGTTCAATGGCCTTCTGTTTCTTTTTCTTTCTGCCCCATATACACATCTGTGTGGTTTTGGACACGACTGTGGGGGCACAGGTACATTTCAGCCTGTTGTTAAAAGCTCTTTGTCCTGTCTAAAACTCAGCCCCAATAGGCATCTTTATCTGCCACTGTTTCCTCCTTGTTGAGTTGCTTTATGTGTGCCTTCTTTGTGCTCCTGGTGGCTCTGCTCACCCACCCTTTCCCTCTGGAAGGACCCCTCTCTCCTCTTCCCAGATTTTTGAAGGTCCCTTCGCAGAGTCATCTCCAACCATTCTCCAGCTCTCGCCAGAAACAGCTGTGCCTTTAAACTGCCCATATTTCTTTTATCTGAAGCTGTCTCGGGGCCAATGGCTTTCTTCTTCATGTTATGGTTGTTTATGGACTTGCCTTATCTTTCCTGTTTGGGAGGCAGGGTGATATGGCAGAAGGAATTTGGGCACCCACTTCCGGGGATGTGACCTTGCACTCTCTGAGCCTCAGCACCCTCATCTGTGAAGGGAGAGTATTTAACCTTAATCCTACTTCAGAGAAGTTTTAGGGCCCGCATTGTGTAGTTGTCACAATGCCTGACATGTCTCAGGCTCTTGTGATTTTTTTTTTTTCCTCCAAGAGATTACAGTATAAGCTAATCGGGCATAGGACTGGTCTTCATTATGTCCAGCCTAGTGCCTGGCGCTTTCCTGGAATAAACACATATTTGTTGAATGAAAGAGTGCAGCCCAGGAGACAGATGAACAACTTGCAGGGACCCCAGTCTCTGGCCCAGTCTTTCCTGACACAGGAGCTGCTTGTGGTTGGGGCATGCTGGGGTGGAGACGCCCAGGAGTCCCTTAGCTCATGGCATAAGTGACCCCTGCAGTGGGAGCCAGTGTGGGCTAGCTGCTAGCTGAAGGCTCACTCTGTTCAGTGATTTGTTCTTTTGAGACACAGTTGTCAGTGACCTTACGAAGAAAGCTTTGTGACGGGGCAGGATACTGAGTCCTGCCTGGTAGGGCGTTACTTCACTCCGGCACATAGCTCCTGTGTGCGATTTCTAGTCTCTGTGCCTTCTTTCTTCCGCCCTGTATACCTCTCACCTCTGGGCTGGGATGAGTTAGCTGCAAACCAAATATCACAGAGGATTAATGAGGCCAGACCACTTCCTGAGTTGGCTGTCCCTCGGTGAACAGTGACTGGCTTGACCATGGCCTTGCTGGGCTGGGGTGTGAGCCTGGGCTGCTGGTGTGAGGTCTTCTGGATGATTCCAGTCCCCAGATGCCTGGTAACACTGTTGTTTTAGAAAATGCACTCAGATGACTAGCTGCTCTGAGTCTCCATATACAGAGCTGAAGGTGAGAATGGATCCTAATGATCATAGCACGGGCCCATTTTACAGATGATCACTAAGAGGGTGGAGCAGCAGCCCAGAACCTTGAAGAACAATAGTGCCCAGACCTGGGCTCAGCCTTTTCATTTCTTTCTTTCTTTTTTTTTTTTTTTTTTTAAAAAAAAGCTACCTGCAGAGAAGCAAGCCCAGGTCTGGGCAGGTTGTGGTTGCTCCCTGTGGGTCTCTGCTGCCCGGTGCAGGCCCCTCCCTGCTGCTCGGGTCTGCTCTGCAAGCTGAGCAGCTTCCTCCTAGCTTGTGTGCTGACGGCCCCACCCCCCTTGGCTCGCGCTGCCTGTGTTTGTTATTGTAGTCCTGGCACGGGGCCAGGCCTGGCTGCCAGCCAGGCTTGTGGGTACAGTATGTACAGTGAGTGCTGAGCCAAGTTTGTCATCATACACGATTAATTTTTTTTTCCTAATCTGCTAGGGGTGGGGTGAAGGAGGAGGCAAGAAGAGGGTTTCTTGGTGCTGGAGAAGAGGCCCCGCCGCATTCCACGGCGACATTATTTATGAAGGGAGGAAGGGCTCAGCTTGTCTTTCTTCTGCCTCTTTCCCCGTTTCTCTCCTTGTCTTCCTCCTCATTTCCCTATCGGGTAGAATCAGCCTGTAGGAGATCGGCAAGGCGAGGTCTTATTTTCGGTGACTGGAATACTAAATTTACTCTCCTAAATCAGTTTTCATTGTGCTGAAATTGACAATTTGTTTAATTAGAAGTTTGCCCCGTAGGAGGCCCTTCTGTGAGACGCTGCTGTCTCTTCTCCTCTCTTCCTTTTTTTTAAGTTTTATTTTTTTAAAGACCCTACGTGGTAGTAGTGAACGTTCAGTTTAATTGAAGTTTGTATCTCGATTTGAATGCGTTAACTAATCAAGTGTTTATGAGATATACCTGATGATAACAATAAGTTTAAATTAAACTAACAGTAATCGAACTCATTAACTAATGAGATGATCTGGCCAGGCCCTGCATGCTCAGAGGTGGCTTTGGTGGGGTCAGTTTGGTTTGAGTGTAGGGAGAGAAGCTCATGGTGGGAGGAGTGGCAGCCTCCATCCGGAGACTGTGCAAAGCTGGGCTGGCAAGAGGGTGCAGAAAAGTGTCCCCCAGCTGCACCCATCTGTGGCCCGGCACGGCTCAGGAGCCTCCTTCCCTGTCCTTGCCTCCTCATTCTTGGGGACCGGACCTGCTTCTGAAGTATCTGTGGACCTCCGGACTCTGCCTCTGCTTGTTCTAATACAGGAAGTGATTCCTGGCCCCGGGAGGGCCCTTCAGAGACCACAGGGTCTGTCAGTGACTTCCGTCCCTTGTGAGACTGGCCAACGTCAGGTTTCCCACTGGGTGGTATTTTTTCTCTCTATGCCATTTAGGCTATCCTTGAGCTCACTTTGTAGCCTAAGCTGGACTCGAACTCACAAAGATCCTCCTGCGTCAGCCTCCCGAGTGCTGGGATTACAGGTGTGAGCCACCACGCCTGGCTCACTAGGTGGTATTTCCCACAGTTTGCTTTAACAGACCAGTGGATTATAAGTGGGCATGCCTAGAACTGCTTGCCCTTGCTTTTGACTTGGCTGCTTGCAGAAGAGGCTTGGGTACATATGTGGCCTAGCCCTATTTTGGGAGTGCCATTCATTTTTGAAGCCAGTAGATATTTAAAAAGACCTGCTTATGTGTCAGGTCTGTGCATTTAACATTGAAGAATGCCATGGTGGCATCCCTGTCCTCTCGAATAGGAGAGACCAGTTTGACTGTTGAATGTTCCATCTTGGTTAGAAGGGGCCATTGGACTTGGTGATGCAGAATGGGCTACAGGAGAGGATGTGTGAGACTAGAAAAAGTCAAGCCTGGCTATCCCTGCTGGGTGATGGCTGCAGTGTCAA